TCTTTCCCACAAAAAAAAAATCCGCACAGTAGATCAAAATTCAAAATACATACCAAATAAGCCAAAGTTTCTTTGATCAACAAACGCTGTTCACACTAAAACCCAGCTTCAATGTACTGCAGATTAACCCATTCTCTCTCTCTCTCTCTCTCTCTCTCTCTCTCTCTCTCTCTCTCTCTCTCTGCATCGTATTCTTAGATTTGGAAGTCTCCGAGAGACAAGAGAGGGATAAGAATGATGGGATGCACTGTGCAATTTCTTACTTTTTATTTTCTTGCCTCTTCCCCTCTTTCTAATTTACTAATTTAGTGTATAATCTTATGGAAACACAATGTAGATCTTGTGACAATAAATGTGTATTTGTTGGCTGTAAACTTAAATTAGTATGTATATATATTTTTTTAAATAACCTGTTGTAATCTATGCAATTAATGGAAAATGATACGGTCGTTGCGAGTAAATACCTCGTAAATCCCGTATGTCACATTATTCAAATTTTTAATTTTTTTAATTTTTTTATTCGAGACTGCGGTTTGTGTCAAGTAGTTTTCAGTATCACTGAAATCTCTCGCGTATTAAAAGAAAAGGGACAATATAGAAATTATCCATATTAAAATGCTTGGATTAATTAAATATATTCATATAAGAATTTAACATATCTAAAAAAATAAAATGGTTAGTTATTTCGATTCATTGTGTGTGTGATTAAAACAAAATTAAATTTAAAAATGGATTAACTATATATTTTTAATTTCTATATATGTATATTGGATAATTTAAAATCCAAATGAGCATCTTAGGAGAGAAATTTTATTTACATTGTATTTGTGGAGGTTCAAACTATATATTTATAAAAATATAAAAATTAATTAATATTTTTAGAGAAAAATGATCTCTTTAGCTTGATTTGCCATAAATGTCATGCCATTTATTAGTCACGAGTGGTGTGATTTGGAATGGGATTAAGAACATTGTAAAAATGACATACCTGCCCTTTACTTAAGATGTGAAAAAAAAAATTCTTTGATGATTTTGACTGTATGGCTGAAAAATAATTAATTATTTTATTTTTAGGGTGAGCATTAAAAAGGAAAATAATTGATTTATTTATTGGGAAATCTCTACTTTTGTTGGTTGAAAATCTTCGAGATAAATAGTTTTAATATAAATCCGAATGGTTCCATGAATCATTATTTGAATATTGACTTAATACATAATTTGAATATTTAAAATTTTCCAACACAATAAAAACGTTGTAAATGGATGTTTTGCGTTACAAAACAACGTTATCGCAATGTAATTGCAACGCTAAACGTTGCCTTGTAAACGACATTGTTGTAAATGTTAAAAAAAAATATATTGCATTGCATTATAAGTTATAACGATATTTTGTCGTAAATTAATTTGGAATGAATTGCAAAATATTACAAAATGTTTCGAATTTGTAATGAATCGTGTAGAACATCGTATATGGTTTTACAACGCTCTTTTCAAAATTTTATGTGCCCTATAAATTAAAAAAAAAATACGGCTTAGCAAACCATACACATACTAAAGAATATATGAAAGCTAATTAATCCATGTGACAATATGTATGTATACATATATGTGTTAGCTAAGGCGTAAATATCATTAAATGTTTAGTTGACTCCCTCCAATAAATATATATATATATATAGTCATGTCGGTGTATTGTTATTATAAAATAATAATCGTATTTATTTGGTATAATAATTAATAAACCGGTCATGACCAGCTGAAGATAAAACCAATTATACCAAAACAAACGCTTTTAATATTCTCTAATATGGATTACATGATATAAAATTAAATATCCTTATTTTTGTCTATCATAATTTGAAGATAAGTTATATATGTTTGCTTGCTCCAAAAGGGCAAATCGACCGACAGGTTTGTCTTCATGTCAATGTCACATATGAAATAATGCGCCTACTCTTCTTACAAGTCAATCCATAGACATCATATTTTTTGAAACCTTGCTTCCAATCTTTCTCTTTTTATATATGTTTTTTCCAAATTTATTATTTTCATATACATTACACTGCTATATTTTTAAAATTGTAAAATGAGCCATCGAGTAATTAGAAAGAATATTAGTATATGTACCATTTGTAACGTTGGATCTTTACAGAAATCAAATAATATATCCAACGGTTCAGAATCAAGAAAGAAACTACGGTACTGTCTCTATATATATACATACTTGCATGCGTGCGTACGTGCATTGGATGAACACTCATATACGTATTTGTCCACAAATCTATAATCGTTAACAATGTATGCAGAATCATTATACAGACCCAATATCAATATAGGCGTAGAAATGCTGAATTTTAAATATTTATATCGAGTGTCCCCCAAAAGATTGCTATAGGTCGGTGTACGGTCCATGCCATTACAGGACAAGTGTCATGGTTAAAGGGTCACATTCGTTGGTGGTAGGACCCAATACTCGGGGCATTGGTTTTGTCTCTTCGAAGGCCTCTATACGAACCCGGTTTAGATTTCTAACCAATACCAAGATTAAACCGATTGGTTTTCCTAAACCAGACCCTGAGTGGAGAGGTGAAAAGTAAAAGAGAAATGCCAACGTAAATGATCAAGAAAAATCCAAAAGGAAACAAAATATGGGAGAACAAAGCGATCATATAAGGGTCTCCGACCATAGAAAATGAATGATTCATGATATCGTATAATATAATATATTAGTATTTGTCCTTTTGGTAGCCCAAACCCACGCATACCCGCATGGGCCGAACCCTGCTATGTATATGACTTTTGACCTCCCTAACGTTTTCTGTCCATTATCGTGGATATATATATATATATATACATACGTACATACATATATATATATATATAATGTAGTTGAGAGTATTTGATAGTTAATCACAAAAAAAAAAGCATGATCAATAAATATAAAGACTGTAACCACTCGACGTTCAATGCAATGGAAACTAGTTACAAAGACAAAAAATAACCAAAGAGAAGCTAAAAGCCCTTATTTGATATAAGGAAACGACCCGTGGAAACTCGCATCGAAAACCATCAACCGGTTAAGCGAACCGATCTCCCGGTTTAGACAACCGGTTAGCCGGCTGTTCGAGAGGATCATTTCTTGCAAAGTTTTACGGTAACCTAAACCGGAAATTTGTTGCCGTTTATGAACAAATTAAGCATCGAGCTTAATAATATATATGAACGTTATGGCTAACCACAGGATGATTTACATCGGAGCTCGGTGTCTCTATAGGTTCATTGAAGTGGTTGTATTGTCATGTCATTGTTACATATAGATTCGTGATTAACATCACAACTACCTTACACCCTTTTGTTTGCTCCTGTCACTGTCTCTCGTAATAACCACGAACCAAACCCTTCTTTCCAAAAAAATACATATATATTATATGTAAACGTTTATTTACCAAATTGAACACTTGGATTTTTATTGTTACACCCATTTCAAAACCCTAACTTGCCCTAAAAAGTACACACACACACATATATATATATAATATATACATGAACTATTAATTTCATTAAAATCCGAAAAGGATGCATTGGTACTTGGAGCTAACACGTCGCTCAACTCGAAGATGTTGCTCCAAAGTGACGATCGGGGAGACATTTCACACTAACTTTGCCATTTCTAACGAAGTTTCACTATTGATTTTACTTTTCTGTGCAATTGCTCATTTATCAGCTTTTTTTCCTCACTAACTTTTGTCTACATACATATACATATATATATATATACGTATATAATTAATTAGCCAAACACTTATAATGTATATTAGACGTGTTTCTTGTGTAATGCTTGAATGGTAGTGAATTTACGTTTTCACGTAGAGATGACCATTTTATTTATTAATCGAATAACCGAATAAGATATAACCATAATCGAATTCAACCTGACATAAAAACCAAAACGGTTATGTTTTCTTTAAACCCAAAAAAAATTGAACCGAATCAACTGAACCAATTATAAAAATAACCAAAAAAACCGCTAATTTTTGGACAAAATGAGTTTTTTACAATAAAAAATCGAATCTAAATTGAACCAAGCCGAAATTTATAGAAAAACGGAATGATTATAGGTTTTCAATAATTGAAATAAGCGAACCGAAACTTAAAATGGTCACCCCTAATTTCACGTATAGTGTAGATTAACAAAACCAAATCAAAACAAGTCTAATAATATACAATTAATTAGCATTCGAATGGAATGTGATTCGTTTAGTTATATTTTAAAAAAAATCAGATTAACCATATGTATAAAAAAAAACCAGAAAAACAATTTGAAAATGGAATTTTTTTTAGGAAATAAATATTTTTTAATGAAATAAAACTCAACATAAAAACCAAATAAACATGATTTCTATAAAACCATAAAACTAAAATATATATCAATAAAAATTTTGAAATATATGATGCTTTGGATGATCATATGTTGATCTTATTTTGTATAAGAATGATATGAAAAAATATGCATAATCTAGTGAAGATAATTTTATATGTGTATCTTATTTTATCTATAAATTATATGAAAGAATATGTATAATCTATTAAAGATAACTAAAAATACGGCTATAATAACAGGCTTGAAAAAAAAGGCGCGCACACACACACACACGAGAGCAGCAAGGTAGGTGTAATGACTGTTTTTTATATGATTGTTTAATCAAAGATTCCAATCATATTTATCATTGAATGCTTTCAAGATTAAGCCCTTCGTGTGTGGGGGAATAATATAATCATAGATAAGAGTGGTGGTTCGTTTGTGTCCAAACACTAGGGACTCTCTTGTCACCCACTAGCTCATAAACTTTGATCCCATGGCACATATAGTACCTACCGATAGGTGTAATTACATTGCACAATATTCCCAATCATATAATTCGAATAAAGACAGATGTTTTTTTAATTAAAATTTGTGTAAACTTATACCACATCATATATCCCATATAATCCACAAAGGAAAACTTTGGGATCCGGTCCATATCATACTGCGTATAATTTATATATCATATTATATGTGTCTTTGGCCCATTTAACTTTTTTTTTTAACAAAAAAATGTCATGTGTGTGACTGAAGAAGGAATCTTTGATATACACTAAGCTTTCCGCTCGTCAACAGTGTTTTGGTAGGACGTTATCGCCGTATAATTATTCTTCTTTTAAAAAGTAAAAACTATAGAAATTAGAAAAATAGGCAAA